CAGCATTTTTACTTTTGGATTTAATGAGAGATATAAGTTTTGTCATCATTCTTACCCCTTATTTAGTTATTATAATACTAATAAAATAATTAAGGATCTTTCAAAGTATCTCGTTTGTTTTGAAAAAAATTACTTCTTATCATAAATTGAACGCCAATTACATTGAATGTGTTATATTTTCTATCGTATCAAAAATTTTCATAATAATAGTTGCACTCAATATTATATATAATGCATTTTTTATAGATTTGGAGTCCTAGTTTTACTACAAGAAAATGAAAAAATTCCAACAAAAAATACAACAAATATAACGATTTTCTTATGTTGATTTAAGAAAAATCTTGACTTTTGGTTTCTTAAATATATTTTCCCTTATTGTGATTGCATAGATTTATTAAATGTATTACAAATGAGAAAGGTGATAGATTATGTAAAGTATAATTTATAAATTGCAATGACATTTTATTTTGATGGTATATTTTTTTCTATTAACTAAATAATGCTCCCAATATGAAATTATTTTGGATCTATCCCTACAATTATCTTTCCAATGGAACTTCTATTGAATTTTTGCATAATACCAATGACAATTTTTTTAACGATTGAAATATGGTCAAAAAAAAATTCCAATAAAAATTCATGTAATTGAAATCTTTGAATGCACTAAAGTTCATGTAATTTAATTTGAACACTAATGGAATAGCCAATGAAATTTTCCAATGAAAGCAATATATTCGTGGGAATTTTCAGTAGAATACCTTACCGTTGAGTTTTTCATTGCAGTATAGCAATTTTTTGTAGTCCTCTCAAACATTATTTTTTATGTAGTATTTATTGAGTAATTGTGTTTACAATTTTTCTATTAGAAATATATTAAACACGTGAACCTTTTAGTTCCTATAATTTTTTTTTTCAGGAATCACTCATTATTTTATCTCAAGATTACCTATTAATTTACCAATTGAGTTACATTTATTACATATTAAATATTATATAATTAAAATAGTTCTTGTTTTATATGTTCAATATGATACTTATATATTATATTAAAAAAACTAATATCGTAAATAAAAAAAGTTATTTAGAATTAGAATAATAAAGATTCTTTTTTTTTTTCTAATCTACATGAATAAATGTACAAATTATTATTGTCTTATCACCTCAAATTAACACATAAAATTAATAAGAACAAAAAATTAACAAGCGTTTAACAACTCAGTTCAATTACATCGTTAAGTATATTTTTCAAAGGTTTATATTTAGTTATATTAATTATATTATTTTTGTTTATTAGTTTGTTTTATATTTATTAGTACATGCACAACTTAGTTATTATTCATATTATTTCTTTATTTCATATTTTTTTAAAACCTTATCTTTTTCTTTCACATGTTCTTAACTGTAGATTTGGAAAAAAAGACATAATATAAAGTATAGAATTTCTTCGATCATCTGTCTCATTATATATCAAATATTTGTATATCCTATATTATATTATATTTCATTACCATTTTTTAATTAATATTATAATTAAATATTTACAATTCATAAATTCATTAATAACATTGTCGAGTCAACTTTTGTTCATAAAAATTTTATAAATATATTATTTTCATTGGATTGTTTATGTTGAATTGACAAAAGTTATGTTTTTTTTTTTAATTGTCACTGTATTAATGTGTTAAACATGTAATACAGATGAGAAAGATGACAAATTATGAAAAATATAATTTATAAATTATAATGACATTATGTTATTTTAATGGTATACTTTTTCTATTCACCAAATAATGCCTGAAGTATGAAATTATTTTGTATCTACCACTGCAGGTAGATTTCGAATAGAACTTCCATTGAAATTTTTACAATTCCAGTGACATTTTTCCAACTGTTGAAATATGACCTAAAATTTTTTTAACAAAAATTCACGCAATAATAAATAATGATAATTGAAATAACTATATTACACAAGAATAAATAATATAATTTGATCTCTGTTGAAATAGTCAATGCAATTTTACAATGACAGATATACAAACAAAATATCATTTAGAAATTCCAGTTAATGTCTTACCGTGATGTCCTTGAAAAAAAAAAGTTAATGTCTTACCGTTGGATTTTTCATTGCAATGTACCATTTTTTTATTCTTTTATATATTATAATTTTTATTAGGAGTTTTTGTTATTACTTAATTGTATTTATAATTTTTATATTAAAAATATATTAAACAAGTGAACTTGGTAATCTATATATTTTTTTGTAGAAATTGCTCATTATTTTATCGCGAAAATTACCTATTAATATATCTATTGAATTACATTTCTTGCACTTACATATTACATAACGAAAAGTATTATTGTATATATATAAAATAAGCCATTAATATATTATATTAAAAACTAATAGCAAATAAAATGTTATTTAAAAATAAAATAATTAATTTTCTAAGAAAAATAAATTTCTAATCTTCATGGATAAAAGTATAAATAACTGATGTCTATCATCTAAAATTTATATATAGAACTAATAAGCGCAAAAAATTAAACAAATTTTAAAAGTTCTATAATTACTTTTATTGATTATAATATTTTTATTTATTACTTTTTTTTTCATAGTTATTAGTAAGTGTTACAAATTTATTATAAATTTAATATTATTTATCAGATTTAATATTTTTTACTTTATATTGTTCTTTCATATGTTTTTAATGTGCGTGTGTGTTTGTGGGTAACTTTTCGGTTTGTTCAAAAATATATAAAAATAAGTATAGCCCTTTTTAGGTCATATGTCTTGTTTATATCAATTAATTTTACATTTTTATATTATTTTATATATAATTATAATCTTCTCATTTATACTCAAATATAATTTTTTTATTTCATACATTTTATTTTCAAAACCATTTTATTGTAGTAACACATAAATAAATAAATGACTAATGATAATATATGAATATAATTTTTTGATAAAAAAGTATTAAAATTTTCAACATGTAGGCATATGATGATTCTCGAGATAATTTTTATTAGTTTGTAGATAATTATATGGTCAAAATTAATCCATATTGCTAAAGTGGTATCTCATTAGACGTGAAAACAAATTGATACAATTTTAATATTATACAATTTCATAAAATTGTTCTGATTTTATAAGAAAGATCATTTTATATAATTTTATTCCACATATTTTTATATAATATTTTTCTAGTTATATTATGTATAATATTTATAAGAACATCTTCACAATATTTTAGAAATACTTTTGAATTTGTATGATTTTATTTACTATCGAATATATATACATGTGTGTGTGTGAGTGATGAATCTTTTTATATTATAATGCTTTTTTTTTTCATAGTTTTTAGTTTCATAGTTTGGTATTTTCACATCACAATACAAATAGTATAATTAAATAAAGTACATATATAAATAACAACAAACATAAATAGACATATTTTTTTAAAGATTGTCTGAAATTTGATGAGACTTATTAGTCTTCCCCACATATAAATACCACAAATTTTTAGGTCAAAGATTCCATTTTGCATTTTTTGTTTGCCATTCAGTAGGAGTGGCTCTTAAGCTACTTGTCAAAACCTATCCCTATATTAACTAAAAAAAAATTATCATGCAAAATTACAGACCATCATACATGTAAAAGTTGTATATATCTAATTTTTCCAAGAAAAATAAACAAAATTAAACGAAAGGACTTAGGTGTTGGAAAAAAAATGCTACCATAAAAACCATTTTTATACCACATTAGACCTCTCAATAAGTCAAGGCCGCATCGAAAAGCATGGAAAATTACAGAGCATCAAACATTGTAAAAGTTGTAAAAGGTAAATAAAATAAAACAAAATGACTTCGGTGTTGGATAAAATGCTACTATGAAAACCATTTATATGCTTCATTCAACCCCTGAACTGAACAAGTCAAGGCATCAACGGAGAAAAGCATGGAAAATTACAGAACATCAGACATGTAACAGTTGTATATAATCTGAATTCTTCAAGAAAAGTAAACAAAATTAAACAAAAAGGATTTAGGTGTTTGACAAAATGCTACTATGAAAACCATTTATATACCGTATCCGATCCCTCAACAGTCAAGCCATCGAAGGAGAGAAAAACACAGTTAGTTATCAATCGAAATCATATACAATCAATGGCAGCAGCACTCCTAATTTCTCTAGTGTGTATTATTGTTCTCTCTTCAAATTTTCATTCTTCAAATGCAAAGCTTGATGTACATTACTACCAAGAAACATGCCCATTAGCCGAGTTCACCGTCACAGAAGCCGTTAAACAAGCCATGTCAAGTGAGAAAACAGTTGCGGCCGCCCTACTTAGAATGCACTTCCACGACTGCTTTATTAGAGTAATTAATACTTCACATAGACCCTTTATATATATTTTCATATTTAATATTCTTTGATTTCAACATTAGTTGTTGATTCTTGTAATATCGACATTGTATATTTTGTTTGAATTTCTTTGAAGGGTTGTGATGCTTCCGTGCTGCTGAATAGCAAGGAAAAGAACCAAGCAGAAAAGGATGGACCTCCAAATATTTCTTTACATGCATTTTACGTGATCGATAATGCCAAGCAGGCAATCGAGAAAATGTGCCCCGGTGTTGTCTCGTGTGCTGACATTTTGGCTCTTGCTGCAAGAGACGCCGTGACACTTGTAAGTCATTTGTTCAAGCAACTCTTAATTACCTAGAAAGTGAAATTAGCAACTCCTTAATTAAGTCATGACTTTAAATTTTTGCGATTTATGTGTATGTTTCGATTAACTACGTACGCTCTAGTCCGGAGGTCCCACATGGGATGTACTAAAAGGGAGGAAAGATGGAAGGATTTCAAACGCATTAGACACTCGCCAATTGCCTGCACCAACTTTCAACATATCTCAGTTGCAGCAGAACTTCTTGCAAAGAGGCCTTTCTATGGACGACTTAGTAGCACTCTCAGGTACTCCTTTCTCCCCAAATCAATGTTGTTTCAAAGCTTCAAATAATCCCACAATATTTCCAAAACATATATATATTCGTGTTCACAATCATGATTAACAGAAAATAAATCGATGCAGGCGGACACACACTCGGTTTCGCCCACTGTTCGTCCTTCAAAAAACGACTCTACAACTTCAGCGACACAACTGACGTGGACCCATCTTTGGACACGTCATTTGCGGCCCAACTAAGACAGGCGTGTCCCTTACACAATACGAACCCGAATGCTGGGGCTGTCTTGGACTCGTCCCCGTTAGCGTTCGACAACGCCTACTACAAAATGATACTCCAAGGGAAGAGTATTTTTTCCTCTGATCAGGCCCTTCTTACTGATTCAGGGACCAGGGCATTGGTCATGAAATTCGCATCCTCTCAAGATGAGTTTTATAAGGCGTTTGCAAAGTCCATGATCAAGATGAGTAGCATTAGTGGGGGTGGGGGTGAGATTAGGCTGGATTGTAAGGTTGTTAATTAACTAAATTAATAATTAATTTTGGCGATTATTGGGTAGTTTTGTAATGGTGATTCACTCATTGATCAGGTAATTGGTTTGTGTTTTGTTTGTGTTTGTTTTGTTTGGTTTATCTTTTCATTTTCCCTCTAATTAATGGGGGTTGAGGAGCTTTTGTCTGGGAAAAAAATGTGAAATGAAGTTGTAATTTTGAGTTGAATTTTCAGTATGATTCTTGAATGTTTTCAAATTATGAGACAAGGGTTCTTTCACTAAACTAATTTGACTTATATGTATTAGTCACTATTAAAAAAAAAGATAATGATAAACTCACTATTAGTACATTTTTAGATAATAATAGAATACATGTCTTACCGAAAATATATAATTTTCTATGCTCTGCCTAGCAAGCAAAGTTTAACTATTTCGAGGGACTTAACGTCACTATTACTCTTGAACAATAATGGTCGCATTGTTACATATCTAGAGAGAGGATCGTATCATCATATGAGAAAGAGGGATAGTGATAGAAATGAGAATGATCCTACATCATTAGATCCACCAATTAAATGATCATGATCAAGTCAAAATTAAATAAATAATGATTAAATATACGTGGCAGTATAGTAAATAAGTATATAATCGTGGTCAAATATATGATTTTTACTACTTAATAAGGGTAAACTAGTCATTACACACCCGTTAAATAATTAACCACTAATAGTGCTCCTCACCACTAGCCCTTCCCCTCCCCCATCTCACACACACAAATACACACACATAAAATCTGATTTTTCACGCGCGCACACACACATACACACACATAGCAGCATTCCAGCCCACAGTCACTGCCCGTCGCCTTAGATCACGCCTAGCGCCGCCTAGTCATTGCCCGATCTGCCACCCACTGTCGGTCGCCGCCCGTACGCCACCCGTCGCCGCCTTCCGTCTACCAACTACTGTCCACCACAAACCACACTGCCGCCGAACAAGAGACGCTCCTGACGACGACGCTGTGGCCACCAATGAACGCATATTGCAGCGGCTTGGTCGTCGGCGAGCTCGGCCATCCTGACATGGTGGATGATGGTGGCGTTGTGACGGTGACCGGCGACATTGCACTGGTGGCAGCAGGACGAGGTGCTCGGCAGGAGATGAATGGGCTTGAGATTCAAGAGATTTTCATATTTTTGTAAAATGTCTTGTTTTTGTGGATTTAATAACTTTTAGGTGTCCATTTGCAATTTCAACATTTTTTTTTTAATATTGCACTTTAGTTCATGGGTGAAATTGCAATTAATCAAACTGTTATTAATCTTTTAATATTTTTCATTTAATATGTAGTATTTCTGTACAGTTATTGCTAAAATTTGATAACATTTTACATAAAAATTTAAATAATAAAATGAATAAAATGTAGTATTTTTGTAGATAGATGATGTGATAAAATACAACGTTTTGTTTTATAAAATGCGACATTCCTCTATATAAAGTGCACTGGCTAATTTATACCTTCCCAGAAAAATTATGTGTATAATTGTACATCGAATTAACCTAAATAATTAAAATAACTTTTTAATTATTATTTTTATTATGTAATGTATTTATTATTACAAGATATTTTTATATTATTTTAATTCTTATATTATTTCTATTTAATAATTTATTTATTATTACAAATTTTTTTATATTACTTTAATATCTTGTTTTATTTTTATTTAATTATTTATTTATTATTTTAATGTAAATGCATAACAGAATATATAACAAATTTTTTTATTAACTTTCAATAATTACATATTTGACCCATTGGTTTAAACTGAAATATAATTAAAATTATTAAATTGCACTCTTAATCTAATTCTCAAAAAAAATAGCCCAACCCCCCATTCCATTTTCAGTCTCTAAAATCGTTGCATATCCTCCTCTCACACCGGTGATGGCGAGTTTCGAGTTGCAGGAGGCGACAGACGTCCGGTGATGGCGTCGTTCGAAGCTCTCCTCCTACATCCGCCATATCTACTCCCAACAACCGGCGGATGGAGGTCGCCGGAGATGATTAGGGGCGGCAACAGAGGGTTGTCTTGAGAGGAATCTAAGGTTGGCGGCCCTTGGAAGCTCGCCGGAGACGAACTGAGACGGCAGGTGAAGCTGAGTAGTCGGATGAGATTCACGGAGGTGCGGCGGCGGCTAAGGCGCCGCGCGACACGTGGTGGAGGCGACGGTTAATGTGATGGCCGACTGTGTGTTGTGTGTGTATGTGTGTGACCGGCGGCGTGTGTGTTTGTGTTCTCGCTGGTTTGTGTGTTGTGTGTGTGTGTGTGTCGCGTGGGTGTGTGTGTATGTATTGTGTGTGACTGTGTGTGTCATTGTGTGTGTGTTGTGTGTGTCGCGTGTGTGTTTAATTAATGGTCAATGTTTGTGTAGTGTGTGAGAGAGAAGAGTGGGCGAGATGTGTGTTGTATAGGCCACATGATATTATATCATTAGATGGGGATGAGTGTTAGTTGGTATGGGTCCATGATTGATAATAAAAATGTCCAAAATATCCTTAATGAATAATTAAATACTAGATTTTTGGTAACCATTCGATCGTCTGATCCGATGATTGTGATGTATTCTTATTTTTTTAACCAAGAATATTTCTCACTGAAACCCAACCATATATATATTAACTATTTTTTTATACCTTTATCCATTGAGATAATCATTTTCAAAACAACACCTAATATTTTCAAGGATACCTAATACGCAATTGTGTTAAAAGAGTCATCTAACCAAGTTTTGTCAGCGTAGTTTCCAATTGTATTAATTAATTGGGATCACTTTAGCTTCGCGGTGTAGACTTGTTCTTTTTGGATCACCAACTGCCCTAATGCACATATTGATATAGTAACATCTAAATATTATATTCAACATTTTAAAACTTTACCTGATAATGTCCAAATAACAAAATTGATAATTATGATTCAGCACTACCAAAACAAAATAAATAAATAAAATAAAATAAAAAATCCACACAATCCCTTCTTCTAATACAAAATTTCCAGAAGATCTAGGAATTTAATTCGGGGGATCCGATTTTAAATGTTAAATAACGAACTTATAGTTTCAATCGAAACGCTCATTTCAAGTTAAAGAACTGGGTTATCGCACAACGTGAATTGGTACTTGAGCAAGATGAATTTTTACAAGTTAAAAGAAGACTAAAATAAACAACTGGGTTCTCATTTTATTTTTTAATCAGAATTCTCAAACTGCTCTTAACGAACTCAATATGGTTTTAGCTCAACAAACACACCAAAAAAGATTATATCTTTGCTACTATATTGAATACCATTTATATACCACATTCAACCCCTCAACAAGTCAAGGCATCAAAGGAGGAAGAAAAAAACACAGTTAGTTGTTAATAGGAATCACATACAATCAATGGCAGCAGCACTCGTAATCTCTCTAGTTACTATTGTTCTCTCATCAAATTTTCATTCTTCAAATGCACTAAGTGTTAATTACTACCAAAAAAAATGCCCCAGAGCCGAGTCGACCATCGCAGAAGTCGTGAAGGAAGGCATGACAAATGACAAAACAGTTGCGGCCGCTATACTTAGAATGCACTTCCACGACTGCTTTATTAGAGTAACTAATATTTTCCATATTCCCTTTATATATATTTTCATATCTCTTTTGATTCTTGTAATATCGGCATTATATATTTTCTTTGAATTTGTTTGAAGGGTTGCGATGCTTCCGTGCTACTGAATACCAAAGGAAACAAGCAAGCAGAAAAGGATGGACCTCCAAATATTTCTTTGCATGCATTTTACGTGATCGACAATGCCAAGAAGGAAGTCGAGAAAATGTGCCCCGGTGTTGTGTCGTGTGCTGACATTTTGGCTCTTGCTGCAAGAGACGCCGTGTCACTCGTAAGCCATTTATTCAATCAAATCTTAACCTAGCATGTGAAATTAGCTACTAAAGTAAATCCTTAATTGAGTTATGACTTGATCATGTATCGGAAATTCTTAATCGAGTCGTGACTTTAAATTTTTGCGATTTATGTATACATTGATTAACTACGTACGCTCTAGTCCGGCGGTCCCACATGGGATGTACCAAAAGGGAGGAAAGACGGAAGGATTTCAAAGGCTACAGACACGTCCCAATTGCCTGCACCAACTTTCGACATATCTCAGTTGCAACAGAGCTTCTCTCAAAGAGGCCTTTCTATGGATGACTTAGTGGCACTCTCAGGTACCTTTTTCTCACCAAATCAACGTTGTTCAAAGTCTCAAATAATCCCACAATATTTTCAAAACATGTATAGTGTTCATAATCATCATCGTTTAAAAAAAAAAAAAAATCGATGCAGGCGGACACACACTCGGTTTCTCTCATTGTTCGTCCTTCAAAAACAGAATCCATAACTTCAGCAACAAAACAGACGTGGACCCATCTTTGGACGCGTCATTTGCAGCCCGGCTAAGGCAGGTGTGTCCTGTGCGAAACACGAACAAGAATGCTGGGGCCAACTTGGATTCGTCTCCGTTTGTGTTCGACAACGCCTATTATAAATTGATACTCCAAGGGAAGAGCATTTTTTCCTCTGACCAGGCCCTGCTTGCTACTTCAAGGACCAAGGCATTGGTCACGAAATTCGCGTCCTCTCAAAAGGAGTTTTATGAGGCATTTGCAAAGGCCATGATCAAGATGAGTAGCATTAGTGGGGGTGGGAGTGAGATTAGGCTGGATTGTAGGGCTGTTAATTAATTAACTTTTGTGTTTGGGTGTTTTTGTAATGGTGATTCATTGTGTTTTTGTTTGTGTTTTCTTTGTTTGCTTGATCTTTTTTTTTTTTCCCCTCGTCTAAGGGGGGTTGAGGAGCTTTTGTATGGGGGAAAAATGTGAATTAAGGTTTTAATTTTGATTTGAATTTTCAGTATGATTCTTGAACGTTGTCAAATTATGAGACAAGGGTTCTTCAGTAAACTAAATCTATAATCTACAATCCATATCTATATCTACGGTTATTAAAGCCAACAGTTGACTCCGCATGACTCCATAGTTATAGTTATTTTGCAAATAAATATTACTAGTGCAACACTCGTGTATTACACGGGTGCTTGTTAAATAATTATTCTTAAATTTTAAAATTAATGAGAAAATTATTTTAAATTTTATTTATTTTTTACAAAAAAAGTATATATATCATTATATACTTTATAATAACACTTATTACTTGTGCGATTCCGAAGCATGCGAGTCCGCTACTTATGCTCAATACGTTTCGTATTAATATATAGGGGATGGGTTGTAAGCCTGTAAATATGTAATAAAAATGTTATTATGTTGTGGACCAAGTAACTCCTCAATGTATAACCTTAATTTAGAAAAATGCTACGGTTTGTTACGGAATCATTCCGTTGGGGTGTGTAACCGTTAGATCATCATGTAACTATAAGGAATAGTTGATCTAACGGTTACAAACTCCGACGGAATGGTTCCGTAACGGAACCGTAACATCTCTCCTTAACGGTTTTGCTATGAAGCCAACAGTTGGCTCCATAGTGGAGCCAACATGCTATATACGACAAGTAAATTTACCATATTAATAAAATTATATTAGTGTTATTTAAGTAATCAGAGAATATGGTAGGTTTTACTTGTCGTATATAGAAGGTTGGCTCCACTATGGAGCCAACTGTTGGCTTCACTATGGAGCCAACTGTTGGCTTCATAGTAAAACCGCTCTCCTTAATTTAACCTATAAATTTAACGGGAGTCTAGGGACGTGCTTGGATACAAATATATCTATTCAAAATGAGTTTTATTTGTTAACTAAAGTAAATTTAGAAAAATGTGATTTAGTTAGTTGTTAGTCAGATTTTGAATTTATATTAAAATAATATTTAACATAAAATAATGAAAGTTGATTTGATGTAAAAATAGGAAAATTGTGTTCTGAATTGATGATTAGTTAAAATTATATGAATTAATAAATTAGTGAACTAGAGTATATATAGTGTGTAAAAATAATTGATTGATATTATTTAATAATATTAATATTTAAATATTGTGAAGTTGTGTTAAAAATGTGTCTTAGATTTTGATTTTGAATTAAATTTATCTCTATCCAAACATACCCTAGAAGTCCAAAAACCAAATAACAACTCCGCCGGAGAACAACCAGGCGGTGGGTCGGACTTAAGAGCACTTGAACAGCAAATCAACAATGCAAGAGCAAAACTCCACTACTGACTCCGTTGCAATCGATCAAGAGAATCCTGATTCCGTTCTTCAATCCGACTCTTCTAAACTGGAATCAAAGATTGAAGAAAAACAGCAGGAAGAAGAACAAGTGGAAGAACGCGGCGAAGAAGATGAAGAATTGAGAAGGCTTTTGTTGCCTAACGCCGTGGATCTGCCCATAACTCCTCCTTCTGCTGTTGAAGCCAATTTCACAACCTTTTTCGCTCCGGGTAAACTGAAAATTATTACATAATTGCGCTCTGTTATTATAAAATTGAAAAAGGGAAAAGAATGACAGGTTTGCAATTTTCTGTCGTCTTCCCCTTTTTCCGGCTGTTTGAAGTTTCCGGCCGAGAGGAAACATGGCAGAATATGTGATATTTGTTTTAATTTTTTTCTTTTTTTTCAGATTTTATGAAGCCTGGGCATGATCAGTATGTTCGCCGCCATGCCAATGGGTATGTTGTCAATTCTTCCTGCGAGACCTATTTTGATCATGTTTTCACCAAATCCATGAAGATTTTTTTTTTTTTTTTTTTTTTTTTTTTTTTTTTTTTTTTTTTTTTTTTTTTTTTAATTATTGATAGGCTGTGTGTTATTGGTTTGGCTCCATCTCATGTGGCATTTAAGGACAATGGCGGAATTACTTCTGTAGATTTTAATGTGGGGAAGTCTGATAGGAGTGAGATTAAAGTTACAGGAAAGCGAAAAAAGGTGATTTTTGTCTATGCTACCTGGACTCGGATATGGGTGGCGTATCGGGTGTGGAGATATGAGCGTCCTGACTCGTCAATAGTTTAGAAATCTTGAACATTTTAGGCTAAAATGTCACACCCGACACTCATACCCACACCAGTGTCGACACAACATGACACGGGTATTTTTCCTAAATAGAAGAGTCCGGGTAACATTAATTTTTGTTTTAGTTTCTGCAGGTTGTATTCAACCAAAGGAACAAGCTCACTGTTGGAGTTTATCTGTGTTTATGTATTCAAAAATATTCTTTTTTATTTTTTTATTTTTTTTTATTTTTATTGTGCCTTCTGCAGAATGCACAACACTTTGAATCCAATAGTGCACTATGTAAAGTGTGCACTGGTGATGCTGCTTACATAGTGAGGTCAGTAGTTTTGCCATTGTCGTTTCATATATATGTGTCTTAGTTTCTCTATCTTACAGGTGGCAGTTTTTTTTTTTTCTTCTTTTTTTCAGGTGCTGTGTAAAAGGCTCACTGTTGGAAGTCAATGAAAGGTTAATCAAGCAACCAGAATTGCTCAACACATCGGTAACTGATCGTTGTCAACGTTTCTTGGTTTATGATTTAAACCTTTTGCTTCCAAGATCTTTTGGAAAGTTTGGAAAATGATTTCGACGGATTAGAAAGTGCAATGCATTAGTGAAGAAGGCAGAACCTATATAACTATTTACTAAGCATGAACATTGTCAATCCTTGTTCTATGTAGGAATGAACAATGTCGAGGGTTGATTTTGGGGAGAAATTGATGGCTTTACTGACTTTCCGCTGAGAATATACCGTACTCTTTTTTCTATGCAGAAAATGTTTAAATGCTAAACTTTTCATCGTGTGCGCACACACATACACACACAGTTTTTAACACAAGTTAAGATATGGTTCTTCTTGTTTGGGTTTGATGATAAATAAAGAATGAGCAGTTTTTATCTTATGAAAAACATATATGCTGAAACGTAAATCTGTGTGAAATTGGTCCACGTTTACAGTCAGCTCTCTTGAAGCTTGTTTTTGTTCAGCTGTCATATTACATACACACACAACCGCCAATGTATCTTCAAATTGAGCCATTATATTAAATCCCTTGAGGCTGAACTTGCATTATCTCTTATTGCAGCCAGAAAGAGAGGGATACATTGCAATTATCATGCCAAAGCCTGCTGATTGGCTCAAGTGTAAGGCTTCCTTGCTGGACTCTGAACAATATAAGAAGTCAAGAAAAGAGCCGTGATTTGGATTAATTTGTGCTAGAAATGCCAACTTCTGTTGAGGAGAAGACATTATACTGATTCATTGTTTTGATCATATTCAGTTTATTGCCAGGTGAAAAGGAATAGGGTAAGTTTGGACATAACTTCTGCTGTATTGGATCTGCAGTAAGCACCGGCAGCCCATTTATTAAAGCATTTCATTCAAAGGCTCTGACAAGACCTTTATATACGTCGAAGTCTCTTGTCTAAAATGCTCTATTTATATCACAATTTGAGTGCTATAAAGTGATGGAATGAAACTCTTAGGCCACTTAACTGTGGAAAGACTGAAAGACCGATATAAAACACTATACAATATTGAAGATTATCAGGCAACTGAATAGCCAACATAAAATGTAGCATAATCTTACATTCATATCTTCATTGTTTTATCTTGAATGGTTCTGTGTCGTAGTCTTCTTCAAGTACTTAATAAAATCATATAAACATCATGAAACTCACAACTTTTGTTTGGTTGAGAACGAGGCAACTCAAATGTTAGCCTGATGCCACAGAGTACACATTTTCCGACAACATTAATCTCTGCAAAACTATTCAAAAAAAGGGGGAAAGAAAAGAAGAAAGAATATCTACGAAACTTTACATCCCTTTTATCCACTGTATGTATCGACAAATAAACAGAGACAAACTCACTTCCCTCAAATTCAAGAATACTATTCTCTCCAATTAAAAGATGAAATGCGCTACAGCTTCAGCTTCAGGGCTGGGGTTGAAAAACGGCCGGCCGCCTGTGCCCGAACTCGATCTCCTCGGGCTGCCGCCCTGGACCGTCCGGGCTCCCAATCATTGCATCCCCTAGCACCTCCATCCCCACATACTGCTGCACAACAAGCACCGAGTACGTGGCCGCAAAGTCTGACGACGCCAGCAGATCCCCAATAGCCCCAAGCTCTGGGCACTCGCTCCAGTCCGTCAGCCCTGCTGTGACCGGCGTCACCATTCCCTGCCCCCTCCCCACCACAAACAGGTCATGGCTTGTGTCCATCGACCTTATGGCAGCCACCGTCTCCTCCCCATGGTTCACCACCCTTTCCATGTACACCACCGATCCATCCCCCGCCGTCCGTGCCCTGAACTCGCTGATATAGTCCTCGTCCAGTTGTCGCTCTCTGTCCCCATCTGTCACCACCGTCATCCGCTCCCTCCCGCTCGTGTTCCGCACCGCCGGCGCCTCGGAAGCTGTCTCCATGGTGTTGTCACCGGGGACAAAGCGCATGACACTGAGGCTGATGCCTGGGTGCTCCGACATGCGCCATGCGATTGCTAGGGCCTCGCGATCGTCGGGCCCACCGAAGAAGAGGACGGCAATGTGGTGCGAGGCGTGGCCCGGGCTGAGGCGGGCACCAGAGAGTCCTCTGTCGACGAGGATGGCGACTGAGCAGGGGGCGTGGGCGAGGACGTTCTGGTTGACAGAGCGGAAGGCCGGGTTGGTCGCCTCCATTCCGCCGTCGACCGTCTGCTGCTTGTGGAAGGGGATGATAATAAGGGCCACGCGCTTGTCCTCAGCCACGTCGCGGATGTCCTCGTGCATGGTCGAGTAGGGGGAGACGGCCGTGAGGGGATGGACAGACACAAACCCTGCTTGTTGCTCAAAGTTCTCGAATGCATTGATGATGTGGTCCGACTGGGCCTGGGTGCGGTTAAGGGCGGGCCGGCCTGACTTTCGGGTATTGTGGACGATGAGCATGGCTGAGGCGCGGCCCGTGAGCTCCACGAGGTGGAGTACGTAGGCGCAGATCGGGGAGCGTTTGTTCGGGTTGGACGCTTCGAGAAGGCCGATGATGGTCGGGACGTTGCGAGGGGTGTGGACGCACACCAGCATGCACACCTCCCCGTCGGGTTTAGCCTGTTGGATCGTGCGCCGTTTGTATGAGGCAAACTTGCGGGCTGGCTTGTAGATGTTGGTCACGATGGGTGAGATGATCGAGGTCATTACCATGGCCACGATCACCATGATTGAAAATGACTTGTCGTCCAGAACCTATATTTACGTAGGTTCAAGATTAGTCATTATCATTGATTGAATAACAGGATGCATCTCGTAGTGGAAAATACAGTATATATATATACCTTCTGGTCCTTGCCAACATTGAGAACGATCATCTCGACAAGGCCTTTGGTGTTCATGAGCAAACCGAGAGTGAGTCCCTCGTAAAAGGGGATCTTGTAATAGAGGGACACAAGGAGCGTCCCGGCGACCTTCCCTGCACAGGCGAGGACTATGACAATGCCGAGAACCACCCACGTTGCAACCCCTTTTATCGACCCGATGTTGGTCTTGAGACCACTAATGGCAAAGAAGAGGGGCAGCAGCAGACCCGACACAAAGTCCTCGAGCCTCTCGATGAGGGTCACCCCTAGCGGCCCGTTGGGTATGACGAGTCCGAAGACAAATGCCCCGAACACGGAGTGCGTCCCAATGGCATCGGTCACGAACCCCGAGATCATGACCCCCGTGAGGATGAGGCATATGCAGAATTCACTAATAGGCTCCCCCTCTGGAGTGCGTTGTATCATCCACGAGATGATTGGGCGGATAACGTAGACGTTGAACAAAACGAAGAGAGTACTTGAGAGGATGACCCAAATCGAGGCAAGCGACATGGCCTCGTTCTCAGCAAGGGCGATGGCAAAGGCAAGAAGGATCCACGCACACACGTCGTTGATTAGTGCGGCCGACATGGCCACACGCCCGATGTCGGTGTTGAGGAGCTTGAGCTCGGCCAGGATGCGTGCCAGCACGGGGAAGGCTGTCACGGAGAGGGCCACTCCAAGGAAGAGGATGAAGGTGCCGAGCCTAACAAACTCGGTGCTCTGGTGGAGCATGAAGGCGAACGAGACACCTATGAGGAAAGGGAGGATCATGCCAGCAATAGCGATCACGATGGCCCGTTTCCCGGTCCGCTTGATGACAGCAATGTCCATCTCGACCCCAACAAGGAAGAGGAAGTAAAGGAGACCCACGTTCGCCATGGTCTCGAGGACCATCACACTCCGGAGAGGGAAAACGGTGTCGGCAAACTTGCTGCTCTGCCCGAGCACGGACGGGCCTAGGATTATGCCGCCCTGCACCAAAGTTCTTCAACTTTTAATTATCATTATCCTTTTCAAAAGGAAAAACAATGGAGAGAGAGAGAGAATTAATATGTGAGAATTGAGGAGTTACGAGGATCTCGGAAATGACGCGAGGCTGTCTGAGGGGCTTGAGCGCGAAAACGAGTAGACGAGTGGTCACGACGACAAGGGTTAGCTGCAGAATGAAGAGTGGCAACGAGTAGTCCAAAGGGTTGTCCCCTTGCCATATGCCGTTTGTGGTTATCATCGTGGGGGCGTAGCATACGATCGTCTGATCGGTTTTGTTGACGCCGGCAGACAACGCCGCATCCGACATTTTGCCTACGTAGATTAAAACAAACGCAGGGTGTTTTCTTTCTCTCTTTCTTTCTTTCTTTCTTTTTTCCCTTCTCGTTTTTGTTTTTTGCCTTACTACAAATCAGATTCTTTTGTTGTACGTCATGATTTACAGATGATTTTTCCTTTTTTTTCTCGTCAATTGTCGTTGTGTTGTCACGGCCTTTGTTGTCATCGTTCCTTGGAGAATGCGAATAGGAAAGGAAAATTGAAAAACAGTTTTGTTATTTCTTTCTTTCTTTTTAGGTGTTTGACTTGGGAAATTATGGTTAGTTTTGAATGGTGGGCCGCTGCACGAGGGTATTTTTACTAGTGTAAGATCTTGTATGGAGGAGACTTGTTTGTGGGATTATCTATATTTAGAAACTAAAAGAGCATCCCCAGTGTAGAACCGTCTACACTTAAAAATAGTTACAACATGGCATAACATGAATCAATATAGAATTATTGGGAAGGACACCTCTTTGTAATTTCCAATACACTATTTTTGTATTCAATGTCTTGATTAGGGTTGGAAATCAGTCGAGCCGAGTCGAGCATTGGCCTTATCGAGCAGGACTAATTTTTTTTGAAAAATATAAATTAAGAATAATGACGCAGCAAAAGCTCGACTCGAAAAAAAAATACAAGAGCTCGAGCTCGACTCGAGCTCGACTCGAATTCAAAATGCTCGAGCTCGGCTCGAGTTCGGTTCAAATTTTTTCAAGCAATCTTGTAAAATAACCATTAAATACATATATATACAAGAGTATTTTAGTAATTTTATATATCTCGAGCCGCTCGCGAGCCGATCGGCAATGTAAATTATGGGCTCGAGCTCGACTCAAGTTCGTGCTCGAACCGCTCGGGCTCGACTCGAGTTCGCTCAAACTCGAGCTCGAGCCGAGCTTTGACTCAAGCGCTCGCGAGCTGCTCGACTCGTTTGCAGCCCTAATCTTGATTATGTAAACAACCGTAAATTAACAACGCGTTAACAAATTTCTTTTTTGCATTAAAAAGAAATTTTTCGGTTGTCAAATTTGGGTTAAGATGTATATTGTATTTATCAAAGTCCTAACAATATTGGGATTCTTCAAAACGCGTGAATAATTTTTTGCGCAAAATATGGAATTAGGATTCTTGAAAATGCGTGAACAAATTTTGAACAAAATATGGAATGATTTTTTAAAATCTATATATATACTTACTAGCATATAGCATTTAATTTTACTTATTTAATAAAACCTCTAACATTTTCCCTCCATTTTCGGTTACAAAAATTATCATTAATATTTTTTATTTCTCACATTAATACATCATAATGAGTATAATCATGTATTTTTCTATTATATTATATAATAGTTATTGCTAATACCAACTAATAATAATTCACATTAAATATAAATTACATAATTAAGAACAATTGTTTTAAGTTATTTATTTTAACATCAATATTATCTTTTTTTTTTTGTATCTCATGAAAAATTTCTTTAAAAACAATTAGTAAATTATTTTAATATCATAGTCAAACAACTTTAGAATCTTATAAACAATTGTTTTAATAATAATAATAATAATAATAATAATAAAAATAAGAATAATAATTAAACAACTAGTCTCTAATGGTAATATACAATTTTTCATAATAATAAAATCGTTCTTTTTTTTCTAAAGATCAAATTTTTGAAAATGTAATATGTTCATTATCCAAAATTTTAATATTAAATTCTCAAATATTACTTATAATATTTTTTTTATATATAAACATCCCAGATTGGGATGGGGGGTTGAGGCTACACCCCCGACCTGTGAATATTACTTATAATATTATATGTACATCTGTGCATGATTGACACATATATTTTTTTTCTAAAAATCAGAAACACCAGTAATTTTTTTTATTTATGTTAATTCTTAATATATGCTACAATTATATAAATTATTTTATTCACGTTACTAATATAACGTTGCATGGTTAAAATACAATTTAAATCTCAATTGATTTTGAATGATAAAAATAACCTAAGAAATAATAATAATTTTTATATGATAGAAGCACATGTCTAATTAATAAATACAAACAAAAACATAAATTTTGACTCTAAAAATAAAATCTTTAGTTGGCGGAACATAAATTTTAGTTTCAAAAATCATATCAAATGCACCACTATTATATAGTTCATATTTTTCCAGTTATCAAAATATTTTCAACTAATCATGCTCTTGATTTGTTGGTATTTACACTAATTAGTTAATAGACTTCTGTAGGTGCTTATAAATAAAATAAAAATCAGACACATTTTCACTTTGCATTTCACACTCATAATCATAGTCACCGAAAAAACTATTTCGACACAACATATTTCTTTTGGGTTCCAAATGGCAGTGCAATTTGATAATATGATTTTCTTGGTTAAGAACAAGAAAAAAACTACAATATTGCGATTGATTCGATTTTAGTCAAAGAATTTTTCGACAAACAAAGAAGTAACTACTGGGCTGAAATTTGTTTTTCATGATGTAAGGCATGTATAAATTAAAAGCATGTCTACAACAGCTAAACAAAATCAGAATCGATCCAAGTATTTGTCTCCGATAAATAAAAAAACAGATTAAAAGTGAAAAAAAAACGACGAAAATGTTGCAGATGGTAGGGTTTTAGGCATTAAATACATGTCTCTACCACTTTATTGAATGTTCTACATTTGTGTGGTGGATGAAGTTTTGACCGTGCTATATGGGTCCATGCATTTGGATTATGTTTAATTTGGCCCAATTCCCCCCCCCCCCCCCCCCCCC